TTGACTTATTTTGCAACTTTATAAGCAACAAATAAGGATAGAAACATTTTGAAAACGCCATTTTGAAGGTTTTTATATAACTTATAAGTTTCCTCTCTTCTAAAATTTGTTTAAATTGCTTCACTTTTTGCTGATAGCCGAAAAAAGCAAAAATTTTCCGTTTTTTGAACTTAATGTGTTAATAACTAATTTAGTCCAAAAAATCGACTGCAGGAAACATATAGGTTTTTATTACAGAGGTCCACACTACTCAAAACAACTGTCGTTTGCCTGGCCGGACGAGTGTCAAAAACAGGGTACTTTTTTTGCTTATTTCCCTGGCCTAGTACTTGTGTCCTTTGTTTTAAATATACAGTATAGGTAAAAGTTTATGGTCGGTATGGATCTTACGTGAGATGGGGTGAGAAACACCTGTTTAAAAAGAGAGAGGTATATTAGGTCCGACCTTTATATCGCCGAAAATGCATGAGTGGAATTAATAAAAAGGGGGAAGTTCAACGTTGCCAAACTTATTGGTTTTATTTGACCTGTTGTCTTTTTAGCATTTGAACAATGTTCTAAGATAATCAAATTTGGGCGAAATGGATTTAAATGGCAGCTGTTTTTTATTGGGAATATGCCACAATTTTACTTTACAATAAATGTAATATAATATTTTCTTATTCCCAATAAAAATAATAAACTGTATATGCGCCACAATAAAAAAGCTTCATACAAAATGATTTGGCAAGGTCTCGTCTCGCGACGTCAAAGCACCGAATCAAAGTAGAGACAGTGGTAACGAATAGAGGTGGGTCGTTGACGTTTTTATCCTTAACGCAACTGAACCGATTTTCGTAAACAAGTCACTATGATTGTTTAACAGTAGTTTCAAGTAAGAGAATACCTACATAAACAAACATAATGGCTATTATCGTTTATGTGTATATTTATTGAAGTGAAAGAAACTAATGAAGGATATATTTATTATAAAGGATATATTTATTATAAGTTTTTCTACTTTACTTCTTGTTAACCGTGTTCTTCTTTTATTTAAAATTAAACCAGATTTTGAACATGTGTTCACATTTACAATATTTTATGAATATAGTGGTTAAGTTAGGATATACATGGCGATGGTTTTTCCACCATTGTAATGGACTCTCGAGACAGGTGTACGTTTAGATGAGTCATGTCCAATTAATTGATCAAAAATACACCATGGACTTAAGTAATTTTTTTGCTAAACTCGATATTAGTGATTGTACTACATCGGATACTAAGGATGTAAGGTTACCGTTTGGTAACATTTTATTGCAAGATTCTTGCAGGCAGCGTACTATAACAATCACTGAACTACCCTTCACCACTATGGTATGGTATTTTTGGCCACTCATTGTACTTGTTATTTCTTTAAAAAAGCCGTAAAATTTGGGAAAGTTGAGAACAAATAATCCAGTCTTCATTATTTAGATTTGGTCTTAAGTCTGTATTAACTAATACCAATGTGGAACGTACTGCCTCTTCTAACTCGGTCATTCTTTTTAATATGTAATAAGTGAAGTTCTACCTAGTTTCCACGTCTTGGATTGGCCGTTTGGCAACTTTGTTATGTTGTAATTGATACTTTAAAAGACTTTCTGAAAATAAGGTACTTTTTTTGAAATGTGATTTTTGCCAAATTGTCGAAAAAAAGAATTTTTATTTTATCTATTTGTACACGACAGCATTTAAGTGCGTCTCCACTAATAAATTTAACGTATGAGCAAAATAATTTAAGTTTTCATTCCAAAACATCTTTAATACCTTTGACCATATTTGAGGCATTATCAGTTACTGCAAAATTTACTTTTCGTTTTAGACCCCACTGATTAATAATTTCACTAACTTCAAAAGCGATGTTTTCTGAATTATGGTTTCCAGAAAAATGAAAGCAGCCTAATAAAACCGTTTTAAATTCTAAATTTTCGGTTAAATATTGTCCTGTTAATGCGATGTAACTCTCAGTTACTCCAGATGTCGTAATAGATAACTTCTCTCAGTTACTCCAGATGTCCAGAGGTCAGTAGTAATGCAGATATTTTCTACTTCTTTAAACTTGTGATATAATTTTCTCAGGTTTGATATAACATTCCTGAAGTAATGAACCTGATAAAGTTTTTCTTGTTGGCGGTTTATATCCAGGAATCCACCCTGCAAACTTTTTAAAAGCTCGTTCTTCAACTATGGAAAACGGATGAAACGAGTCTTTGCATACGTTTAGTAAATCCATATATATATTTGTTTCTTTTGTTCTAAACTAATATTTTTATTAATGGAAGTATCCATCACCTTTTCACGCTTGGGTGGCGGTGGCAGTATGTCAGTACTTGTAGTAGAAGTAGTCGAAACGGACAGAAATGCGTCAGGAGAAGTTTTAATCATTGCAATATTCAGAAAATGGACCATAAAAGCTGCATCTTTTACAAATGTGCATTTTTTGAAAATAAAATTATTATTCTTATACTAGGTCAATAATTTTGACTAAGAAAAAAAATTCTTAATTGAATATTTACAATAAATAAATCCTTTGACGAACTATCGACGAAAAATGTAGATCAATCGTAAATAGAAACTCATTCATTAATCAGAATACCTAGTTATTTTATTTTCAACGTCAACCGATAGCCCGACTGTCCACTGTCCTGAAAGAGTCGCATGTTATTTTTAGTTTTGTAGTAGTCTCACATATCAACTAATCGTCTTTGTCGACGTAAAGTGTTCGTTGCTCCTCTGTTTAAGAAAGAAAGAGTTAAGAAGCTGGTTACTTCTATAAAAAAAAAGAAAAAGAAGATTGTACTATTAAAAATCAACCAGTACAAGAAAAAGAAACTGATAAAGATGACTTAAGTCCATGGTGTATTTTTGATGAATTAATTGGACATGACTCATCTAAACATACACCTGTGTCGAGAGATATACAAGAAGTCGACATGTATTTGTCTGATGATATATTACGCACAAAAAATTTCGAACGGAGATTAGAACTGTCCATTACCGTGGTGGAAAAACCATCGCCATGTATATCCTAACTTAACCACTATATTCTTAAAATATTGTAGTATTGTAACAAAATCTTTTCCTTGCGAACACATGTTTATAATCTGGTTTAATTTTAAATAAAAGAAGAACACGGTTAACAAGAAAAGTGGAAAAACTTTTTTAAATGTCAATTTAGACGATTCGCGATTTAATAATGTGTAATGTAAATGTAAGTACTTTTTGTATTGTTTAATTTATTTTTTAAGTTATAGTAAATATATCCTTCGTTAGGTTCTTTCACTTCAGTATTTACACACATAAACGATAATAGCCAATATGTTTGTTTGTTAACTCGCTTATTTGAAACTACTGTAAGCAATCAACTAGTTACTAGTTTACGAAAAAAGGTTTCGATAAAAATGTCAACGACCTACCTCTAGTTTCTTAGGTATAAGCTGGATCGGAACCAGAGATATGTAAAATATCTCTGATCGGAACTAATCGTCTCACCAATGGCCATCTATGAGAAATGTGGAGTGTAGACCAAGAGGAAATATGATTCTTATCTTCGTCTATTCGCTGAAAATATGATTTTATATCTGTGTTAGATATCCTGTTAAATTTTACCATACCGACCATAAACTTTTACCTACACTGCATATTGCCGAATAGCCAATCGACCTCGCCTCGATTTAGAAGAAAGCATCGTGCTATTTCTACTCATGTGTTCACGAAAAATCGGTAAATTAAATAGTCTGTTTTCCAATAGTCTTGTACTCTGGATAACTGAATTATTCCCATGTAAAACAGAAGACCAAGAAAAACTCTAAATTCATTAATGTTTAATTCTTTCCAAGAAGCAATATGCGACTTGTCTCGACTACTCATGGATAAAACAGCAACCGCATTTTTATTCGTCTCTTCAAGTATAAAATTTAAAAGCTCAAGGTCAAATAATAATGAAAAAAATCCATTAGACTATTTCCAAAGTCATTTGGAGCTTCCGAACTCTGTGTCCAATTCGGTTCCACCGTGTGAGTGAATGGTTTTTGTAAGTTAGCCTGCCTCACTAAATCACTATTATCTGACTTTTGTACCTCTACCTCTCCTTCAGAACTCGAGTCAAAACCATATAATTCATATTCTGACTCACTAGACAAAAAAAGTTCGTCTTCAGTTAGTAAGCGATTGACTAGATCTTTCAATTCATCAATCGTAGAGTCCAATTTTGTTTCTTTGTCTTTTTGTGTTGTAAAGGCCCTCATTGTCTGAACTCATTGTTGCACTATAACAATGGTTCCAATTATAAAATAAAAAAATCTATAATAAAACAGCCTATATGTACTATAAAAAGCACATTCACACTGTTAACACCAGCAATCAACTAACCGATTAACTCGGCAACTACAAGCAGTCTCGTACGTGGTCGGTGGCACAGGCGAAAAACATTTAAAACAAAAATAAATATGTGTTTTGTATAAAATTAAAACTAAATGTTTGTTAACTCTGATTTCAGGAAAAAAAAAAGATCTTTCAGGGCATAGTGATAAATATTACTCTGTATGGAGCGAAAATCAATGTCAATAACAATACGAAATAAAATACGGACAGTTAAATTGGACTTTATAAGAAGATGTCTACAAATCACCAGAGAAGATAGAAGAGAAACAGTGGAAATATGAAAGAGAATGTAAGTAGAATGCTCAATTACAAAAAAAGTTAGAACACAGAGCCCTGCGGTGGTACGGACATGTAACAAAAATACCAGAGAACAAATGGCCGAAAAGAATATTGGACCCGCCGGGAAGAATAAGGAGAGGAATACCTGCTATAAGATGGAAAACGTACATAGGAAATGCTATGATAGATAGAGAGCTCGGAAAAGGTGACTGGGAGAAAATTCAAAGAATAATTTTTACATATTCCTCTCTATTTGCTTTTAATTTATTCTATTTAGTAGTTGATTGAAAGTTAAATGATACAAAGCAATAAATGCATACCTTTTCTTTTCAAAACTTGAAGCTTTTCAACCATTCCTCCCAAGAGACTAGAAATATCTTTTGCTTTTACATCTGATTCTAGAGTTTCCTCTATAAGCGTTGCTTGTTGTTGAACGTGTGACACCTCTCTGTCTATTGCCTTCTGAGCTGTTCTAAATTTCTTGTTGAGAATTTCGTAAGGAACCTAAAAATTGATGCATGTCCTTAAGTGACAATGACATTAATAAAATTATGATAGTTTATTTTGTAGCTGATTATTTATTATTACCCAATATATTAAGAATTAAATATGTCTCACCAACTTGAACCATATTGAACAAATTTTATTATGAATTTTAAGAAAAAAAGTTATTCTTAAAAAAAGTGGAATAGTAGGCGGTACTGTACACTAACGCGAAGCTAAAATATTTTTAAAATTACTTACACTTACCATAATATAAAGTAATTTCATTATTTATTTATTTTTTATATTTTAAACACATTCAATAAATTATTATGTTTGCTCCTAATACCACCTGTTATCGTATTAACGAAGCATACGTTAATTACTTCTGACGTCAAATTCACACCAAATATTAATTTAATTATAAAATATAAATAAATATCATTTAATAGTTTTATCTTGGGGAGCTCTGGTTTGTTGCTCCTCCCTTCTTAGTTTTCTTTTCTCTTTAATTAACTTTTTAATTTCTTTTGGATAGTTGTTTCCTTTTAGTTTTGATTTTAGAGTGGGAGTACTTTCCCCTGCTGATTTTTGTATACTTTGTACTTCCTCATTTAATTTTTTCAGGTTTTTTTAATGGCACTGCTAATTCAATTCTATCTTCGAGAATTGATCTAAAACTTTCCCAGTTTGTTAGTTTATTTGTTAGTATTGGGTTACAATCCATTCTAACGATCATATTACTCACAGTTAGTATTATGGGTGGATGATCTGAATTCATTTTCAACCATCATTATTACCTATATAATTGGATGAGACATTTTTAATAACGATTTTATTCCGGTATTTTATTTCTATCTGTTGGCCAATTAGTCAGTCTACCTGTTGATATTACTTCACATTTCTGTTGTTTCATGTGAATGGTTGTGGGTTAGAATCCTTTAATTTGAGCCCTAAAGTGAAGTACAAAATCTTTTTTAATGTTAACTTTGTTATAACAGCAGCTCTGTGTCAGTGTGTTTAGTCATTTTTTAATTTTATATTGACACTTTACTGTTATAAGTTAGTTTTATACATGCAATGTGACGGGTTTTTAAAGAGCTTTGTAGTAGTTTTTATTCATTCTTTCACTTTAAATAAAACTTTTTCGCATTGTTATACATAAATGCTACTACACAGAAACATTTAAGCTACTATATCAATGCCAACATTTTAATATTTTGACCACAGTTACCAAGAGAATGGTGTGTTTGTTTTACACCTTATTATTCTTCACTCACCATTCATTGAACTGATGAAGCTTGTAAATTCAATAAGCGAAACGTCTTCAAATATAGGAAAGGGACTGTGATATCCTTTTATTATTTCTCCTTTAACTGATATCCTCGTGACCGAAAAATTTATTTATTTTGAAATTTTGAAACTTACTCATTGTATATATATATATATATATATATATATATATATATATATATATATATATATATATATATATTTATATATATATTATATATTATATATATATATATATATATATATATATATATATATATATATATAAGGTGGTCCAGAATTGTATACATTAATTTCTAGAGCTCATAGTTCGTCCAAAAATAAGGGTACTTCTTTATGTAAAGTTTTTTTTAAATTGAATAATAAGGGAGGTACAACCCTTTAAAGGGGTGAATTGAAATTCTTATTTATATTTATATATATATATATATATATATATATATAAATTAAATATATATATATATAATATATATATATATATATATATATATATATATATATATATATATATATATATATATAAGGTGGTCCAGAATTATATACATTAATTTCTAGAGCTCATAGTTCGTCCAAAAATAAGGGTACTTCTTTATGTAAAGTTTTTTTTAAATTGAATAATAAGGGAGGTACAACCCTTTAAAGGGGTGAATTGAAATTCTTATTTTTTCAAATATCTTCCAAACGGTTTTGAATACGGAGTTCATATTTTGGGAGTGATTATAAGACATTAGGATAATTAATTTCATGTCACCACCTACCATATCCTATATTAATACAGGGTAGTTTTGGAGGGTAAGTGGGGGTTATTGCGTCACATGTTTTTTAATTTTTACATATTTTAAAAAAATATTTTAATAATTGTTTTCTTAGACTTTTCTACGCAAAAAAGGTGCTCTTGTAATATTTCGATAGATATCACCGTTTTCGATTTATTTAAACTCGAAGGTATACATGTATTTTATTGTAATCGTTACATTTCTTAATATTCATCAAATATGCTTTGGAATTGACACTTGTGTTAGCCATAATATTACAAATTAATGGAAAACTTAATTAATACTTAACATTTAATTAATAGCGAAAATAATATTTCACAAAAACTGCTCAAAATGTCCTCCATTTTGTTGAATACATAATCTAATTCTCTTATTTAGCGAACGCATTAATCCATCTAATGTTACTGAATCGTTTTGTAAATCGGTAAATACTTGTTTAATTTTGTCTCTTAACTCATTTACTGTATTAACTGGAGTGTTATACACTTTTGATTTCAAATAACTCCATACTGTAAAGTCCATTGGATTAAGATCACAACTACGAGCAGGCCAATGAATCGGTGCATCCGCACCCCGGCCTATCCACCTATCAGGGAAATGTTCATGTAACCCCCTTCTACAAATTCTTGTGTAATGTGGTGTAGCACCATCATGCATGAAAAACATGTTTCTTCGTATTTGTAATGGAATATCTTCCAAAATATCATGTAAAATATTGTCTAGAAAATTGTAATACATGTTACCATTTAAATTTCCGGGAAAGATGTGGTATCATCCTATGAAACTATTTCCTAAAGTAGCTGCCCAAACGTTTATCTTGAACATGTGTTGGAAGTGAGTTTCGATTGTAGCCCTTGGATTTTCTTCAGCCCAGAAGTGCATATTTCTAGAATTGAACATACCTTGTTTTGTAAATGTGGCCTCGTCTGTAAACAGAATGTTGCTTAAAAAATTTGGTGCAGTTTGAACTTTATTTTGCAATACTTTACAAAAATCAACTCTAAGTGGCATATCGTCAGGTAACAATTCCTGCACCTCTCGATAGTGGTAAGGATGTAATTGCTCTTCATTCAGAACTATTAAAACACTTTGATGGGAAATATTGAGATGACGACCAGCATCTGTATTCCTTCTTTGAAGACAACCGGTTTCTCTCAGTCGTCGTTCAGTACTTACAAAAGTCCTGGCATTGGGAATATTTTTGTTCGGATACTTTTCTCTGTAGCGTCTTACAGCGGCAGCAGCATTTCCCGAACATTCCCCTAATACTAAAAGTATGTCTGTCATCTCAGAATTTGAATAGTGTGCCATATTGCGGGCAAACAAATTTAAAAATATAGCAAAAGAGAAGTGTTAAACAAATTTCACTGTCGAGTACAATAAAAGTGTAGATAAAATAATTTAATTGTTATTAAACGTCACTGACAATTCATAGACTACTTGAGATTAAAGTGTTGTTCTTAACACAAGTGTCAAATGCAAAGCATACTTGATGAATATTAAGAAATGTAACGATTACAATAAAATACATGTATACCTTCGAGTTTAAATAAATCGAAAACGGTGATATCTATCGAAATATTACAAGAGCACCTTTTTTGCTCTTGTTTAAAATATATTAAAATTATTATTATTAAATTAATATATTATTATATTAAAATTTAATTATATTTATTTAATCTTTTGGCAACCATATAAATTTAGTATTACACTAAATAAAAAAAATAATTTTAAAACTTCAATATTATGCTTGTTGAGTAACTAATAGATAATATTGTTTTAACTGCACAGTAAAGGCTGAAACGCATTATGTCTATATTACTTATGCTTGTTGAGTAACTAATAGATAATATTGTATTAACTGCACAGTAAGCTGACAAATTATTATGTCTATATTACTTTAAATATTTACTTTAAGTAAACAGATAGAATACATAGTAATTGACAAAGCTCCTGATAAATTAAATTTTATGTAAACTGTTTATTTTAATACAAATCAATCGTATAGGCTCCTAATTACTGACACAAAACCTTAAAATACCTAAGTTTTTCTATTTTACTATCTTGTATAACACTAGCAGAAAAAAGGGTATTGAGCATGTGATCAAAGAGAAAACTGGAATTAATTGAATGAACGAGTATATTAAAGATTTTATGATAAGACCATTGACCAATTTATCATTTTCCACATTCAGCAAATTGAAAAGATTTCTGGTACTGGAATAGGGAAAGGAATGCAGAAAATGCATTCTACACTGCCTATATAAGCCATCAACTACATAATGGAATAGATTAAAATATATAGCAAATAAAGGCATTTGACTGTTAAGTTATTATTTTTTTAATAGTTATGATAATAAAGCTAAATAAGCAATATTTTAAATGATATATAATCACACAACATAATTAATATTGTTTTATAAAACCCATATAACCTATTAATGTTATCATTATCAGAATCATCAAAATATGTGAAAATTAGACAACTAACGACATATTTCAGTAAACTAGTTATGATTTGGGGTTGTATGGCAGTTTCAGGGTTAGGATGATTTTGATTGGTTAAGCATACTCAGTATGCAGCATAAATGCTGCAAAATATCAACAAATATCTCAAAATAGCCTACTACCAAGTATTGTGAAATAAATACCTACAGGAATTATATTTCACAGACAAGATAAATGTCTTTTCTTGGCCTTTTAACAGACCTGGCCTAAATGTCATTCAAACAAAAAAACATAAAATGAAATAGACTAAAAAATAACCCACAACTGACATTACATGAACTTTAAAGGCAACATAGAGCAGATTTGTAATGAATTGCAGATTGAAACTAACACAACAACACAATTCAAAACATGATAAGAAAAAAATAAACTGTCAACTATCTGAATTTTGCATGTATTTTAGTTTGTTTCAATATATAGTTGTTAGGGCTCATATATGCTTTTTATAGCAATCATAGTAGGGACACCAAACAATCAATTCATACTCTACTACTGACCAGTTAACAATATACCATCTTAATTGTGTTCACATGAAAATCCTTAGATAATTGATTAATTAACCCTAACATTTTGAATAATTTAGATTTAATAACCTTCATATTGTTAGGAACATGCATTCAGCATGTAGCAGTTGCATCTCAAAAGCGACTCGAAGTTTCCAGAAAAACCAGTCAAGTAGGCGAATTAGAGGTGGGAATGTTCTAGAACATAGTAACTTTGGTGTATATATATATATATATATATATATATATATATATATATATATATATATATATTATATATATATATAATATAATATTATATATATAATATATATATATATATATATATAAATATATATATATGTAACGATGTTTAAGAGTTAGTTGATAAGAGAATACCGAATTGTAAAGTTATAAATAGATATATATTATATAAATTCGAACCACTCATTTTATTTAAAAACGGTACAATATATACTTTAAAGTCAAGTTTATATAACTTTAAATACAATGCCTAAATCTTTTATTTCAAATGCTCTAGTAATATTAGTGTTACTGATTTTGTAATTGTTAAAGACTGGCAAATGCAGGATATACAATAACATAAATATTTAGCTCCTAACAATTTAAAATTGTCCACTGGTAGAGTTTAGGTCTTCTTGTAAGAGTACAATACCAACTGAGTAATCAATAATTCTGAACACTTTGTTATCATCTGCAAAGATAAGCAACAAACCATTGATTATAGAATATCTAATATCATTTTCAAATAAGTCAAAACATGATAGACCTCAATGTGAATCCTGAAGTACTCCCTCACTAAAATATATGAGTTAAATTTTGCATATGCTTACTTTTAATGTAGGATGTTCCAGAGACTTTACATCTGCCATTTTGAGACTAAGGACTAAGTAATGTATAAAAACATAAATAAAATTCACACCAGCAGATGACACAGAACGACCTCGAAAACAGCTGATACAAATGTCAGAATAGAACCAAAACCACAGAATAATTTTTCTTTATTATTCTGTGCCACAACATTTAAGGATTGTCAAGTCAAGATTCAGAAAATAGGTCAAAGACAATGGGCGCGTTCAGCAGACGGAGCTGCTCCACAACTGTTGAGTAAAAGTCTGCAAAATGCAACCGCTACCGCGGCGCTACTTCCGGAGCGGCCTGTCAAATTTGGTAGCGTAAAAAAGTATCGCTACATCCATCCAACATGTTGAGAGAAATGTCATTCTTGACATTTCGGTACTAAAATTGAGGGTTAGGTGTTTGTTTTTGTTTTTATTTTACATTTTTTGGAAATTGGCGACATTTGTATTGTCTAAATAAGTTGTTATGATATAAAAGGTGAAGTGTGCATGTAGACTCGTGTTTTTTGTTGTTGAAAGCTCTTTTTGTGTCTGGTAAACATTTTTTGAAGGTCTACCGGTTTAACAGAGGTATAAGTTTGTATGTTGGGTTTTTGATTAAGTTTGTTATACTCCACTGTATAAATGTTTTTTATGTTGGCTCTGGTACTTAATATATTTGCTTAAGTAATTGTTTGTTCTGAAAGCTGGTGTTATTCCTCTCTATTTGTGTTTTCTTAGTTCTGTTGATATCATGCCTGATATGTAATTATTGTTTCAATTCGTTGATGGTTTTATTACTTACGTATCAAAGTCTTTGTTTCAGGCACTATATAGCTTTCTTTATTTAGATGATAATTGTGTGTAATATTAAATTTTATTTTCAACCATCTAATATGTTGTTTCCAAGTAAGTGAAACTTTACTATATATTTACTGCGATTTAAAATGCTTTAAAATAACCAAGTGCCAGGCCGAAGTCTGCAGAAGGATATTGATCATATATCTAAATGGAGCACACAAAATGGTATTTGGATGCGTCAAAATGTCATAATTTTCATTTGCACCTTCCTCATCCCCCAATAATATTCGAATATAGTAAACACAATTTAACCCTATATTCTACTTTTGAAAGCAAGGATCTAGGTGTGAACCTTGACTCTAACCTATATATAAATCACACATTTCCACAACAATACAGAAATCTATGAAACTACTTGCTTTTGTGAGGAAAACCATCAGAGATTTTTCATACATCTCTGCTATTTGATCCCCTTCTCCATGGTTAGATCCCTTTTTTATTTACTGGTCCACAGTTTTGTCCCCCTATTACATTGCACCTAAACTTAAGACTGTACAATTTTCTGTCATGCCATGTATGGATGCATCTATACTGTGAATATGTTTCATTAGAATGTACACTGAACTTCTCTTGAGGTATGTAGAAATCAAAGAGACTGAATAGTTCTATTTATAATTATCAACAGTATGTGCACCTGCTTCAAACTTCTCTCCAAAATATTTGTTTATTAGTCTCCATTCAACAGAACTCTTCTATATAGCTAACTCTTCATAGAATCTCCAAATTTTTAATCTATCATTTTTCCTCTTCAAAAGTGATCATTCTGATCCAACTTTGTAATACTTTCGACTTCAGCTTTTGTATTGTGTTTAGTGTTACATTACCTGCATGCATTAGATAACTTAAAACCATTAGACCTTGTGACTTTTTCTGAATTGATTTGTTATCTTATTTTGCATTCCTCTCTATCTGTAAATAATAAACTCCTAATCTATAAACAAATACTGAGGCCAGTATGGACCTATGGCTGCCAACTCTGGGGCTGTGCCAAACCTAGTAACATCAAAGTAATCCAGGTATTCCAGAATAAAGTGCTGAGGAACATCGTAAATGCGCCATGGTACGTTAGGAACAACAATCTTTACCGGGACCTCAAGATGGAAGACGTCAATCAGATAATCAAGAAATTTGCAGGGAGCCATGAACAACGTCTCCATCATGTAAACGTCGAGGCTATCCAGTTCCTCGATAATACGAACCTAGAGAGAAGGCTCAAAAGAACAAAGCCTTTTGAACTGGTATAGTGAGTGAGTGAAAAGCAGAGCAAAGTGTTGTGCGAGTATGCATGCTAAATTTAATGCTAGTTATTAGAAATAATAGGAAAGATACTAGTGAGTAGACACCTAATTTTAAGTTTTCATTAGTAATTTAAGTTAGAAACAAATTGATAATTGGTCTTACGACCAGATTTTAATGTAAGTACACTTCAGTGTATTCAGTAAAAAAAAAATTGTGAATATATGTTGTTTTTTTGTTATTGTACTATTCATATATTCTTTTTCCAAATCAGTTTATTGTATTAACTGCATTTATAGCACTGTAAATAAAACTTGTATAATGTAAATAAAATGATATATTTTTAGTAGCTTTTGTTTTATTAAAATTAATGATTTTACAGAGGAAAGTGTGTTTATAAGCTAAGTAAGAAAAGTTTGTAAATATAACATAAATATTAATGAACCAAAATATTTACAAGTATCATCATTCTATTTGCCTTTTTGCCTCTTTAATAGATGTTCCCTCATTTTATTAATAAAAGCCACACCCAAACTTACTCTTAAAATACTCATTCCTCACCTCATCTTTTTTAGTTACTCCACTCACCAATGAAGCATGCTCATTTCAGCCATGTAATTTCTGTTTATTCCTATTTACTGTACAACATTCAGTACCATATATAATCACTGGTCTCAAGACAGTATTATAGAGCCTGTCCTTTAGTTTTACTGGTACCTTCTTATCCTTATCACAACACTTCAGTCGCCCCTTCCAAGATTTTTCTGCAGCATTTAACAGTAGATTGAATACCAGCATGATAGTGCATTTCCCAAAGCAGTCCTCGGTTAGTTTTAAATGACTCTGAGACTTCTCCTTGTATCCACACTTTACATTTAACAATATATTTAATAATAAATAGGTCCTGTTGAGTTTACCTATTAGCTTTATTAGTATTTTTCCATCACACTGAACTCATTTTGTTAATACTGTTTTAATTCTATTACTTACATTTACATCCTAATAACTCTATAATACTGAGTCTAACTACCTAAAACTACCACTCTCTTTTATGTTTTATAACACTAGATTGAATGGCATCAATATAAAATAGGGGTCTGTCTTATTTTTCAATTAACAAGTAAAAATATTTATAAGGTAGTAATTGGGCCAAGAGTAACTAATTTTCCAGCAGATCTATATAAAGAAGGTAGTTCGAATATCACTGGCAGTGGCATCACAGCAGCCTAGAAAAGAAATATGAATACAGCAGTCCCTCCCCAGCGATTGGAATATTTGCACCATACATAAAAAGGGAGATATATCTAAATACCCACATCACAGAAGAACTACTCTCCTTCATACTCCGTGCTGTTGCATGGCACATAATGATAGTGAATAATAGGAAACTAAGGCTTATGAGGCTATCTAAATTTTGACAACTCATTAAATATTGCAACCTTTAGGTAAAAAGTAGGTACATATAATACAATACATTAAATTAAAAATTAATATGCTATTGATATGATTTGTGGCTAATGAACATAGTTTTGAAGCCAAATCTCTCTGCATACTGTCACACACACAATTAACAATATCTTTATTATATTAACTTCATTAATTTTACATATAATATTTATGCATGAAAATATACTCTTATGCATGAAAAAAGTACTCTTTATTGAGTCCCAACAAGCTGCACATATAAACCAAAATTTTATTTATTTTTTATTATTATTTATATTACCTACAGATGCAAACAAGTTTTAAATGTACATAGACCTGGGCAAAAATAGTAAATTAAATTATCACCTCTAAGGAAGATGGAGAAAAGTTGTCAAGAAATGTATGGGATATAGTTTAATAATATACACACATCAATAATAATTAATAAAAATCAATAATATACACATGGAATCACCCAGTATTTCCGATTTTGTAAAGTATTACTAAATTTTTTTTAATGAAAAATGAACTACATTTTATACTAAACCAGCTAAATTACTATAAAAAAAAATCAAAAAAATGTTACAAATACATTAAATTAACAAAAACACGAACAAATGAAAACATTGCAATGGTTGACTAAAAAAAGATACAGTCTTGTTGTTCATTTTAATAGTCAGTGTTACCACCTCTAGCTCTAATACAAGCTTCAATCTGACGGGGAATGCTTCTAATCAAAGCATCAACTTGTTCTTGAGGTAAGTTTGCCCATTCTTTGCGTTTCATCTTCAGTTTTCAGAAAGTCTTTGGATCAAAGTCTATTATTACCATTATTGCTTCATTATGGTTATCTGGCCACATTATATATTGAGGCATTAATAATAAGATTGCTGACACAATTTCTTTAAAAATACACTATGGGCTGTACTCTTGGCTATATTGAACCTGCCGCCCCAGGATACAAACGATTCTGGTTTAGCTAAAACCCAGGTGGTGAACAGCACTTTTTTATCTAAAGGAATTGTAGCTCCAATGGGTATAACTCCTAAATTTCCTAGTTACTGGGTAATTACCTAAAACATTTATATGTAGTTTTCAAAGAACTAATAATCTTTACTAAAACCTACTTCAGCACATTCCCTGCTCATGCGAAAATGCTTTATCGCCTATTAAAAGATCTCCCATATATTGGGGAATGGTTTCCTCATAAAAATTTTGATTAGGAGGAACTTGAGCTCTCTCAGCATTATTCAGCTCTAATTCTTCAGTTTGTGCCAACTGATTCACAACATTTTCAATTAGCTGGATATTATTTTCCTTGTCCGCTAGTAATGTGACGTAAAGTTTAATAATATTTAAAAGTCAAGCTAAATTGGCAATCTAAAACATGCTAAAACATAATCAAAATATTTAATTTTAAAATGACAAATTATTTGACATTGACAGATAAGGTAGCGGTAGCGGAATCCAGCAGGTTTTGACTTATGACGTTTGGTCCAGCGCTTTACGAT